CTACAAAATGTCAATATTAATGTCACGTCTACAAAGCGTCAATATCAATGTAACGTCTACAAATCGTCAATATAAATGTCACGTCTACAAATCGTCAAAATTAATGTAACGTCTACAAATCGTCAATATTAATATCACGTCTACAAAGTGTCAATAGTAATGTCACGTCTACAAAGCGTCAAAATTAATGTAACGTCTACAAATCGTCAATATTAATGTCACTTCTACAAAGTGTTAATATTAATGTCACGTCTACAAATTAAAACGTCAATATTAATGTAACGTCTACAAATCGTAAATAATAATCTCACGTCTACAAATCGTCAATATTAATGTCACGTCTACAAAGCGTCAATATTAATGTAACGTCTACAAATCGTAAATAATAGTCTCACGTCTACAAATCGTCAATATTAATGTCACGTCTACAACGCGTCAATATTAATGTCACGTCTACAAAACGTCAATATTAGTCATACGTCTACAAAACGTCAATATTAATGAAACGTCTACAAAACGTCAATAATAATGTCACGTCTACAAATCGTCAATATTAATGTCACGTCTACAAAGTGTCAATATTATTGTCACGTCTAGAAAACGTCAATATTATTGTCACGCTTAAAAAAAGTCAATATTAATGTCACGTCTACAAAGTGTCAATATTAATGTCACGTCTACAAATCGTCAATATTAATGTCACGTCTACAAAACGTCAAATTCGAATAATGGACCATATATCATCACATAAGAAAGATAACAATTCGTTAATCTTCACAAGATATCTGCTATGAAGATTGTAACATGCTATTCACTGGTAAAAAAATCTTACATTTCGCCTTACGTCTTTAGTTAACAAGGTCTGAATAAATTAAACAATATATTTAATATTTAATTTGTGCGGGGGAAACAGTGTCGATAGTGAGTAAACAATGAAGAGGACCAAGCTAGTGCGGGGGAAACAGTGTCGATAGTGAGTCAACAATGAAGAGGAACAAGCTTGTGCGGGGGAACCAGTCTCGATAGTGAGTAAACAATGAAGACGAACAAGCTTGTGCGGGGGAAACAGGGTCGATAGTGAGTAAACAATGAAGAGGACCAAGCTAGTGCGGGGGAAACAGTGTCGATAATGAGTAAACAATGAAGGGGAACAAGCTTGTACGGGGGAAACAGTGTCGATAGTGAGTCAACAATGAAGAGGAACAAGCTTGTGAGGGGGAAACAGTGTCGATAGTGAGTAGACAATGAAGAGGAACAAGCTTGTGCGGGGGAAACATTTTCGATAGTGAGTAAACAATGAAGACGAACAAGCTTGTGCGGGGGAAACATTGTCGATAGTGAGTAAACAATGATGAGGAACAAGCTTGTGCGGGGGAACAGTGTCGATAGTGAGTAAACAATGACGAGGAACAAGCTTGTGCGGGGGAAACATTTTCGATAGTGAGTAAACAATGAAGACGAACAAGCTTGTGCGGGGGAAACAGAGTCGATAGTGAGTAAACAATGAAGACGAACAAGCTTGTGCGGGGGAAACATTTTCGATAGTGAGTAAACAATGAAGAGGACCAAGCTTGTGCGAGGGAAACAGTGTCGATAGTGAGTAGACAATGAAGAGGAACAAGCTTGTGCTGGGGAAACAGTGTCAATAGTGAGTAAACAATGAAGAGGACCAAGCTTGTGCGAGGGAAACAGTGTCGATAATGAGTAAACAATGAAGGGGAACAAGCTTGTGCGGGGGAAACATTGTCGATAGTGAGTAAACAATGACGAGGAACAAGCTTGTGCGGGGGAACAGTGTCGATAGTGAGTAAACAATGATGAGGAACAAGCTTGTGCGGGGGAACCAGTCTCGATAGTGAGTAAACAATGAAGAGGACCAAGCTTGTGCGAGGGAAACAGTGTCGATAGTGAGTAGACAATGAAGAGGAACAAGCTTGTGCGAGGGAAACAGTGTCGATAGTGAGTCAACAATGAAGAGGAACAAGCTTGTGAGGGGGAAACAGTGTCGATAGTGAGTAGACAATGAAGAGGAACAAGCTTGTGCTGGGGAAACAGTGTCAATAGTGAGTAAACAATGAAGAGGACCAAGCTTGTGCGAGGGAAACAGTGTCGATAGTGAGTCAACAATGAAGAGGAACAAGCTTGTGCGGGGAAAACAGTGTCGATAGTGAGTAAACAATGACGAGGAACAAGCTTGTGCGGGGGAACCAGTCTCGATAGTGAGTAAACAATGAAGAGGACCAAGCTTGTGCGAGGGAAACAGTGTCGATAGTGAGTAGACAATGAAGAGGAACAAGCTTGTGCGGGGGAAACAGCGTCAATAGTGAGAAAACACTGTATATCTATATAGAAAAAACCCCGTAAATAAGTAAAACAGAAATATAAAATAACAGTCGATATCATATCTCATTTACATATTGTAAATCATAACGTAACTTTTTCACAATGTTAATCATGTCATCTTGACATCAAATAAATGATGTCATATTTACATAAAATTAATCATGTCATATTACATAAGGTCAATCCTTATTTCACGTTTAAATACTTTTAATCACCTAATTAATATAAAAAAAATCATAGTTTATGACGTCATAATTTCTCAAGCAAATAAACAGTCTGAAGAATCTCCTTGATGAGATGAAAGCGCTAATGACATGTTGTTCACTGTGTTTTTTTCTAATAGATAAGTGTTTGTTTGTATACGATACACTAAGGTGTATCCATGATCTACCTTACCTTGCGGACTGAATGAATATATATTAAAACTAAAGGGTGAACTATAATATAGTTATACAGCCATTGTTGAGGCCATGCGATAAAAGGTAGGTATTACTCGAGTGCCAAATGAAACACTTCGGAAACATGAACACATGAGCCTGGTCTTGTCATTATCTTCTGTGTCATTGTGGTTTGGTTCATGATTTCAGTTGATGAAGCAAACACATTATTATTACGAGGACGTTCACTTACGAGGACGTAACACACATTCATTCGCACACAATAATAGCCTGCTGGCGACGTCTGGTTAAAAACTGAGTGGTTAAGCTTATATACATATATTGTCGATAATGTGTCTAAATATTTAAGAATTCACGATGTATTTTATTTCAAAATCGGCGTTCTTTGAGATATTTTGCAAACACATAAGCCCCCTCTCCCCCCTCCCCCTTCTAATGAAAAATGAAAATATAAGCGCAATAGTACTGAACCAACTGACAGGTAAATGTCCCTTTAATTTGTAACAATATGAAACAGTACAATGTTATTGTTCATAGTTCCTGTTTCTCCTGTTTATATCCCCAATAGACGTCGACAGGGCCGACCCAATGTAGTCGGAGTCGCTCTGCGGTACTGACCGAGTTTCCTGTCTGTCTGGGAGTGAATGTGAATCTCCGGTACTGTAAATAATAAAACAACCAATACATTTTACAATATAAATATGTTTATTTAAAATTGCTATTACATATCATATATTGTAAACTTATGTCAATTCAAAATTATTTAAACCCTTGCTATATTATTGAATATTCATATTCTGTATGCTTATATCCATTGACGAAAATGACACCCATATTTGCTAAACACAGGTGACCTCATCACTGCGTATTGATACACTTCAATGACGTGGCACAGGGCGTACTTTGTTAAAGGTCCGCCATGAAACAGCCCTCGATGTAGTTCTGTTAGGCTAATATGAACTAACTTTAAACATGATTGGCTTAATTTTAAAGCTAAAAAAGGGCGTGTAAAGAAAATGATAATAACATAGGACTTGTATAAATTTTACAAATGGAAATATATTTGTTTGATGTGCTGTCATGCTGTTGCTAGGACCCGCAGTGAGCACTTAGAAATGTAAGTATAAGGAATAAAACTAAATTGTTTAACGTTCGTGAAGTCATAACAATATTGGCTTTCTGGACATATCTATTTCGTGGAATATGTCCAGAAAGCCATATTGTTATGACGTCATAAATGTTGAAATTATTTTATTCCTTAAATAAAATTTAATTTTAAAATAAGGATGTATGAAGGAAATTTACAAAAACCTAAAAATTCAATATTTACACAAATTTGTTTGAACGAAACCAACTTTAGACACACTTTGAATAAGTGTAATTAAGGAAACAATATATTTTGCAAAACGATTTTTACAGATGTTACAAACACCTTAAAGCATTATTTGCACACACAACAGAAGTCAAATCCGCATGAAGTACATTATAGTAGCTTACCATATCTTCACTTCAAACTCGCCATCATGTCCGTACTTAAGGTTAGATAATGTCTTATTTTGCCAGCGTACCTGTAAAGTAAAGCCAAACGTTTATAAGGTCGGTAGTGTTACAGGAACAGAGTTGTGAGTGGAACACCTTACCATAGCATCTTCTAATGATTTAGTTGAAATTCTTGTGAAATCCTTTGAATTATAATTTTCACAATTTTCCCGTTATCACCTGCTATATGTACTCAAGAGTTCCGAATTTTCCAATGACTGACAGATTGGGTGCTAGTGTTTCGAATATCCGCCTCATTAGCAGTCAAATAAAAACAAACGGAATCCCCTGTTAAGAAAATAGATAATTAACCAAACAAACGGAATCCCATGATAAGAAAATAGATAATTAACTGTTATATGATAAAATGTTTTCACTTGAAAATACAATACTCACAATCACAGTTCCATGCAAGAACACCCGTACGACCACCCCTATCGACCCCGGCCCTCCGTCCTCATTTCCATACGGCCATGTATCACCTGTAAGGAAAGCGTAGTGTCACTACTTATTTTGATAGTGTATGAATATATATAACTAAAAAGGTTCCTTGAGTATGAATATTAGGTATATAATTATGCAAGTTTCATCGCGTCACTGCTATGTAAAAATGATGTTCTTACCCAGAAAGTTTCGCTGACATTCTGCCAGCTTGTTCATAGGTGACGTTTGAGCAGTTGGAAAAATTAAAGATTTAAAACAACAAAGTGTGAGCTCGCCATTCATTTGTTGTTACCTAGCAACCGACATTCACATAAACGAGAGTTCTTGACGAGAGCATGCGAGAACGAGTTTACCAAAACAAAAAAACACCATTTACAAAAGTCGGACAGACTTAGACGAACAAATGTCGGGAACCCAACTTAAGAAGAGGATTGTTAATAGCTCCGACAAGACGCTCACCGACGATCAAGAACGAATGTTTTCTTAGGGCCTAAACTACGCAGTCACACCTGACAAAGTTCCAGCGACTGAGTTTGTGATTGCCACAGAACAGGCATGTTGGAACCTAAGGGCATGCGAAGAAGAACAACTAAGGGCAGAGATAATGGGAGTATTAAGAAATGCGAAACTTCCACCTCCTAAAGTCACCAAGAATGAGCGACTCATCCTTCAATCATAAGCCAAGGATGACGATGTCATGGTCCTACCAGCGAACAAAGGAAGAGCTACTGTTGTGGTGAGGAGGGATAGCTACTATCAGAAGGTAACAGTAGTGTTGGAGGATGTGAGAACAAACACCAAGCTACAGAAGAATCCAACCGTAATGTTCAAACGGAAGTTGGTCAAAATGTTGACAAGATTGAACGAGGAAGGTAAGTCTACCACAATCCAAATGCATTATTTGTTTCCTACATCGGAAACTGTACCCAGAATGTATTGTACTCCCAATATACATAAGAAAGACAACCCCTTAGGCTGATAGTGGACCACACGGGTCCCATAGGATACAACACATCCAGGTCACTAGCAGACATTTTAGACCCTTTGATGGGGAACACCATACGCCATGTTAAACATTCGATACATCTGGTGAACGACTTAACATCTGAAGTCATTCCAGACAAGGACATGCTGGCATCACACGATGTAGTGTTTCTACTAACAACCCGATGGAGAGATATCTCCAGGTCATCAGGGACAGACTGATGATAACAACCTACAGATGAGAACCAAACTATCTGCCGACAATGTTATGGATTTGCATGAATTCATGGTCACCACTGCATTCTTCTCCTTCCGAGGACAGATATACCAACAGAAATTCGTTACAGTCATGGGTAGCCCGGTTTCCCCTATATTCCATACCTATACATGGAATTCCTGGAACAGAAAGCTATCGCCACAGCTCCCGTCATATGTGCCAATTCTTTATTAAAAAGGTATGTGGACATGACATACTGGAAGTTATAAACACTGAGGACAACACCAACAGTATCAAGTTCACCCATAAGGAGGAGACAGACAATTCCATACCGTTTTTAGACACTCTCATTGTGAGGAAATCAGTTGGATCCATTGAGTTGCTAGTATACCGGAAAGCTACACATACAGACCAGTATCTACATTTCAAATCCAATCACCCTTAACACCATAAGTTGGGAGTATAAGGACGTTACTAGACCGATGCAAACATTTGGTCACAGAACCGAAAGACAAGATCAGAGAGGAGCGGCACATCAAAACAGCAATACCCTAAATGGACCGTAAAGACTATGAAATACAAGATAGAGATGAAGAACAAAGAACAAACTAGCAATACAAGAGAAGAAAGAGAAGAGACAACAGACAGAACGGAGGAGGAGGAGGAGGGCGGCGTAGTTATGCCATACGTGGAGTAAGTGTTGGAGACCATGCGGGGATGTTCGAGAAGCGCCGAGTCTCGAGACTGAACGGAAGTTCGGAATTCGCTAGGGGGAACATCATATTTAATAATGCCTGATTAATACCTATAACTCGTATTATATCTTGCTATCACAGACAATATTACATCTATTTTAGAATATGATATCTCTCATTATCAATAGTGAACATGATTTCAGGAGGAGTTTACTTCTATGGCAGTGTACAACGAGATCCCGAACCAACAAAAATAACCTTGTGACACATACGTCAGAATCCGGCTCAAATCAGAGCATCATGCATCTCATCATTGTAGAGTAGCATTTTCGAAGCTCAAACTTCACACAAAATTCGTGACTTGAACATCAACACGTAGGTAACATTATGTGAGAGCCAAACAACTCCCTTTGGTAACTCGACGTCCGGTGACAACCTTACTCTAATAACCCGTTACCCCGTAATAACCTACCTCTTGTACGGTTAACCCGACTTTTTGTAACAACCTACCTCTAGTAACTCGACGTCCGGTAACCTACATGTACCTTTATTAACCTGTCACCCGTAATATGACCTACCTCATATACAGATAACCAGACATCTCGTAACACCCTACCTCTAGTGACTCGACGTACGGTAACAACCTTCCTCTAGTAACTCGACGTCCGGTAACAATCTACCTCTAGTAATCACTCACCCATACATACTTCTGGTACAGATAACCCGACATTCGGTCACAATCTACCTCTAGTAACTCGACGTCCGGTAACAACCTATCTCTTGTAACTCGACGTCCGGTAACAACCTACCTCTAGTATATCGACGTCCGGTAACAACCTTCCTCTTATAACTAGTCGCCTCGTAATGTCCTACCTCTGGTACAGATAACCCGACGTTTGGTAACAACCTACCTCTAGTAATTCGACGTCCGGTAACAACCTACCTTTAGCAACCAGTCACCAATATATAACATGCCCCTGGTACAGATAACCCGACATTCGGTAACAATCTACCTCTAGTAACTTGACGTACGACAATGACCTTCCTCTCGTAACCTGACATCGTGAAACAACCTACCTCTTGTTACCCGACATCCTGTAGCAATCAACTCATCAGACTTAAGAACCTTGGGTTCGTTTGCAGCCTTGACATCTTTCGTTTCATTCTTGTAATCGTAGCAATTCCTGTTCCCGTTGTCCCACTCAACCCACACCTTGCCTATGGAAAAAATGAGTAACGTGTAATACGTTTTTGTTTATCGTTAAAAAGGTTATTTGCTTACAACCGTATTGTGCAAGTACCTATTTTATATTAACTTATGACATTGTTACCAATTGTTTAAGCTTTATTATTGATACTATTGTAAAGTTTTCACGCAAAGTTGACATCATTTCATACGAAATGAACAACATAGATAGGGAAAATATGTTTTTGGAGAATAAACTATGTATATACGAAGTAAACAAAGCATAAAGAGAAGGAACAATATCTATTTGCAGCATAAAACTCTGTCAAAAAATAAATTACTTATGTAGGGCAGTAACAAAATATATCAAGAGTAAACATAATATGTACGAATTGAACACAGCATACAGGAGTGAGTAGCGTATGAAGTAAGTTAACATATATAAGATGTAAACGAATAACATGTACAGAAAGTCAACAATGGCATAAAAGGGCGTGCACAGAATTCAGATAAAACAAAAATACAATGCCTTCTTTGCACAATTTCCCGAAAACCATGCAAGATTACTACCCCTTAGAATTAAACAGGCGTACAGTGATATCATTATTGACACAGTGCGTGTGTACTAAAATAAAACAAGAAGATTTAAAAACCAAAAAGCGAAACAATTAAAAGTATTCCAAGGCAATCCATAGTCCCTCAGCAGCAACAATGTCTTTGTTTATCCAGCTGTACACCTATCTCAGTATATAGGTCACAGTGACATACTCCCTGTACACCACACACCGACAGCCAGGACATACATGCATACCCAATCCAGCTACTCCAGATGATATGTTAAAGAAGATATTCCCGGACAATTATATTTCAAAAACGTTGATATCAAAGGTCTAACTATAGGGCGCAGGGAACTTCTTTTTGCACTCGACACTCCGCCTTCCCAAGATATACTTGCATACCAAATTGTGTTACTCCAGGCCAAGTAGTGTAGAAGACACCGGACAAACTCTTGGACGGACGGAGTGCAAATCTGTAACACCCCCAACCCCTCCTAAGCCCTACCCTCTCCCTGGCTTTTAGGAGTGTAGTACCAAACAGCGCGAGCACCGCAACATTTACTATAAAGAACATAAAAATACAAGTAGATTTTGATACGAAAACACTAATAAAGATAAGTGATAAGCGACCAAAGAGTATTCAATGAACACGTTATCAGATCATGAAGTTTTATACTATACAAGGAACTGTTGATGCGTTATAAATACCATCCTTCCCGTGGCTGCACACGGTCCCCACGCCTTCAGAGTCCTGGTCCTGATGCTTCCAGCCCGGACCACGCCGCACGCGGGTCCCAAGTGTCGGCAATTCGTCGTCATGCTCGGACGTAATTATCCGGTCAGGTAACTCTTCCACAAAAATCTGTGCCAGTTCCAGAACCTCAGCCTGTAAAACACACACAAATATGAATGATAATCAGATATAGAGTATGTCCCACAAAATCCATTAACGTATGATTTTATGGAATAATAATCGTGAAAAACGAAGTAAAGGAATGCTTAGCAGGTCGATGCAGAAAGTAAACAGCTTTACCGCACCATGTTGCCATTTAATATTCTAGAAATTTTCAGTATTTTCCGTCTTCATAAAAAGTATCGAAACATCCTAATTCCTAGGTACCTAAACAATCGGGTACCGACAGGACTGAATTATATGAAAATATGCAACACAGTTCCGTTTAAACATGTTCTCCAAGATGCTTCTACGCGCATCATGGATTATGTTGGAACGGAACTGTGTTGCATACCATCATATATGTTAAATAGATACATTTGAAACAATACTCTATACATCTGGATGATTATGCATAAACGATAACATCTGTTTTGAGCAATGCCATGGACGAAGTGTAACATGTTGACTCAATGTCAGAAAGGAGACGTTTATATAGACCAGGGTTTTAATGTGTCAGTATGACTTGGTATAATGATCTGATATAACTGCCGGCTGCTTCCGAGAAATAAGAAATATTGTCGTCTGATCTGCTGAACCCTGCCCAGGGGAACTGTAATGTATAATACCATGTCTTCTGCTGACAATTGCCCGTGCAGCCTCTCAAACAATGAACGCATTCCGTCACCCGGAGGTATGTATCCTAGTGTTACAATGACTCGTGCCAACAGTTGCGCCGCTGCAATCTGAAACAGTAAAAAAGCAAGCTTAAGAGTTGTCAAAACTGTCCATATGTTTTTATTTTTTCCTGAAATATATTTTCACTTTGCTCCTTTTATCTTAAGCAAGAGGTTCACCTGGTATGAATACCGGAAGTGTTAATCTGTGTGCTATTTTCATGCATAACGTCATAATGAAATGCGACCCACAATATTTATGTCCTGAAAATACATTCTTTTTTACCTAAGATAAAAACAAAAGCTAGCCGCGTGCCTTCAATTTTGCTATGACATATTCCAGGGGTGCAGAGAGTAAAAGTGAGCGTAACTGCTGGAGTATTGATATGTACAATGGTAGAAAGGATCAGTATTGAGTTGATACAATGATTCGTATCAAGTGTTACAGTACTGGAATCCATCGTGTCACAATGGAACAGTCAGTTAAAAGAACAAAAAACATTACAACATTCCATTTTTTGTAAGACACTATAAATAAATAGGATACTTATAGTATCATTTCCTTTCTGGATTTAGTGTAAATGTAATATAATACATACGGTTTTATCCATCGATCTCACAAATCTGTCAAGCTGCGAAGTAAGGAAGACTTTCCCTGATGTAGTTTTGGATATTTTATCCATGACACTCTATATAATATAATAATAATAATATATATATATATATACGTATATAATAATAGACAAATATTAAAACAAAACAATCAATTACAGGTAGCCATCTCCAATACACAGACAAGTTCCATATTTCACTCAGGAAGTATATTTTCAAAGCGGTCATTTGAAAACAAATGCAGTTTTAATAACAACTGGAAAAAAACGTATAGGTTAAATGTACTTTGGATTGAATTATCATTGGTTGTCAGTATGAGAAGAAGTTAGGAACGACTTGAGAAGAACTTGAGAACGGGTTTTCCCACTCCCCAGCACTTGGGAACGTATTTGCTCAAAAAAGAACGTCTGCTCGCGCCAGATGAAGTCCGAAACCGGAAATAGTGTCCACACGAATGTGATACACGTAAGAAAATAGTCCGTCATAAATATATCAATATAAAGTTACGAAAACATTTTTTTTGTGAGAATAACAACACTATTTCAGGTGTAAATGTACACATGGAAAAGCCAATGACGATAGGATTGTTTTGAAAATATTTGTTTCTACGTAGTTTTAAGGTTTATTGTATTCCTCCGCGCAAAACTGTTTGTTTACGTTTGTCACAGGCGATCGTTGACCTAACATGGTGTTTAGTTGAGTTTTTTAAATGGAGAAATATATAAGGCAGTTGTATATACATGATAAATAGTTTATCATATAACATTTTCAGTGTATGTCCTTCGAACAATTTTCTTATCGCTCGCACGTAGATAAAATCTTGAGGCCAACGCGATGTTTTCCACGTGTTCGCGATGAGATAATTCTTCTCAAAACAAGCCCTGAAAATACAGTGGGATAATCTACAAATATAATAAATTACTTAATTATCGAAAAGCATATATATTCTACATTATTTATGTGTTTTTTTATGTTCTGCATCAATACAATCATATTTAATATCACAGTAAAAATCATTTGTTATCACAATAAAAATTATTCTATTTTAAATAAAAAGATACACATACTAATCCTATTTTAACATTTAAGAAATTCCCACCTTGTCAGCATCCCCGACAGGAATACAATAAACTTTATCATGTCTCCGCTTTAGGTTGTCGCAAACATCTTTCAGATTTGTATCCACCTGGCCAATAATTAAGGACGTGTTATAACATGCCTTCTAAGCTTCATGTAATAATAATAATAATAATAATAATAATAATATGTAAAAGTCTCTCCGGTCATCAACAAAAACTGCGTCATTTCATTCGGTGCGAAGTAATAGTGTTAACAATGCGAAATGAAATGAAAGTCAAGAGACAATCATTGATTGTAATATTATAAGAAATAAAATATAATGCTATTTAACTACATTTCGCTTAAAATAATACTGGTTATGGTAGACCTTCCCTGGTAAGTGATTTTCTATACTATTACAAAGGTTATAGATAAAACATTACAATGATCCTCGCTGGTGTGTTCTCACTGCTGTCCCCTGTCATATCTGGCCCAAACTTGATATGATCTGGAGTGCCTTTCCCGTCCGAGATGAGCACTATCCGTGGCGATATTACCACGTCTCCTATGACCATATTTTGGCCTGGAATATACAATATCAAACAATCTGTGTGGGAGCATTGTTGTATGTTTGTGTTTTGTCGATAATCTAATTCATTTAAAAAAAACCGTGGGATGCTACGTCATGGAGCTAGGATTATGGCAAATTAAATGCCGACAATATATATTTGTGGTAATGATAAGGTACAAGTAAACAACTGTATATTGAATTTGATTAGTAACGTACACGTTTTGCTGTATGAACGTTTTATTGATTCATATCACTATATTGAATCTCCAATCATTGAATTAAAACTCTATCAACAAGAGAATATCAAAGAGTCGATAACACCGGCAATCAATTTTGAAATCAATAAAAAAACATATCAGAATGTGAACAAAGAAAATATTTACATGGGGACCCTTGAACAAGTACAAGGATCATAAGACTATGTATTCCGGTAATGTAAGCTTTACCCGTCTCCTCGACGATACCGACCATGTTAATCTATATCAATTTCAAAGAGTACTTTTTTACTTAAACAGGATTGAGTGTGATACTAGAAAATAAGAAGTAGCTTTATTTCAAATAAAAAATATCCCTTTAAAATTTCGGAACAGTTTACCATAATGATAATAAGAAATGAGATTAGAGATAGCTTTCCAAAGCATAACGTAGGAGACCTAAGATATAACAACTTTAGCTTTGTCTTAAATTTCAAAACAAAAACAAAAACAAATACCGTTCCCCAAGCAACCAGCTAGTGCCACTAACAGACCACCAGCTATTGGACTGCGTCCTCGGGGCCCAAGGGCATGTATTTCACCTGGAAATTATAGAAACAGGTTCGAAGTTGTTAACCAAAACATTATAAATCAATTAATCGTGAATGAGAAAAAGCACTGCAATGTCAACATCAAGTTTTAAAATTTATCCTAATCTCAAGGTTTAATATCATCACATCAAGTTTTCATATATCATCACATCAAGTTTTAATATCATAGTATAAAGGTTTCATATCATCACATCAAGTTTTTATATATCATCACATCAAGTTTTAATATCATAGTATAAAGGTCTCATATCATCACATCAAGTTTTGATAATAAAGTATTTAGGATTTATATCATCACATCAAGTTGTAAAATCATAGTATCAAGGTTTAATATCATCACATAAAGTTTTTATATATCATCACATGAAGTTTTAATATCATAGTATCAAGGTTTAATATCATCACATAAAGTTTTTATATATCATCACATCAAGTTTTAATATCATAGTATCAAGTTTTCATATATCATCACATCAAGTTGTAATATCATAGTATCAAGGTTTAATAACATCACATCAAGTTTTTATATATCATCACATCAAGTTTTAATATCATAGTGTCAAGGTTTCTATTATCACATCAAGTTTTTATAAATCATCACATCAAGTTGTAATATCATAGTATCAAGGTTTAATATCATCACATCAAGTTTTTATGTATCATCACATCAAGTTTTAATATCATAGTATCAAGGTTTAATAACATCACATCAAGCTATAATATCTAGGGTTAATATCATCACATCAAGTTTTAATATCACAGTATTAAGGTTTTGAATCATCATTTCAAGTTTCAATATCATATTATTTTGGTTTTATATCATCACATCAAGTTTTGATAATAAAGTATTTAGGTTTTATATCATCACATCAAGTTGTAATAGAACAAAATATCAAGGTTAAATATCATAACATCAATTTTTTATAGCACAATATCAAGGTTAAATATCATCACATCAAGTTTTAATATCAGAGTTTTAAGGTTTCAAATCATCACATCAAGTTTTAATAACATATAGTATTCAAGTTTTATATCATCACATCAAGTTTTAATATCACAATATCAAGGTTAAATATCATAACATCACGTTTTTATATATCATCACATCAAGTTTTAATATCACAGTATTAAGGTTTAGTATTATGACATCAAGTTTAATATATCATGACACCAATATTTAATATCAGATTAATAAGGTTTAATAACATGACATCAAGTTGTTATATAATACAATTTTAAGGTTAAATATCATGACATCAAGTCTTAATATATCAAAACATCAAGTTTTAATATCACGGTATTAAGGTTTAATATTATGATATCAAGTTTTAATATATCATGACATCAAATTTTAATATTACAGTATCAAGGTTAAATATCATCACATCAAGTTTTAATAGAACAAAATATCAAGGTTAAATATAATCAAATCAAGTTTTTATATCAGAGTATTAAGGTTTTATATCATCGCATTAAGTTTTAATCTATCATGACGCGAATTTTTAATATCACAGTATAAAGGTTTAATATCATGACACCAATTTTTAATATATCATAACATTAAGTTTTAATATCACAGTATTAAGGTTTAATATCATGACAACAATTTTTAATATATCATAACATCAAGTTTTAATATCACAATATTGAGGTTTTATATCATGACATCATTTGTATATATATCATGACATCAAGTTTTAATATCACAATATTAAGGTTTGATATCATGACATCAAGTTTTAATATCACAATATTAAGGTTTAATATCACAGTTTTAAGGTTTAATAGTATGACATCAAGTTTTAATATATCATGAAAGCAAGTTTAAATATCACAATATTAAGGTTTAATATCATGACATCAAGTTTTTATATATCATGACCTCAAGTTTTAATATCACAATATTAAGGTTTGATATCATGACATCAAGTTTTAATATCACAATATTAAGGTTTAATATTATTACATCAAGTTTTAATATATCATGACATCAAGTTTTGATATCACAATATTAAGGTTTAATATCATGACATCAAGTTTTAATATCACAATATCAAGGTTAAATATCATCACATCAAGTTTTCATAGAACAAAATATCAAGGTTAAATATCATCACATCAAGTTTTAATAGAACAAAATATCAAGGTTGAATATAATCAAATCAAGTTTTTATATCAGAGTATTAAAGTTTTATATCATCACGTCACGTTTTAATATCACAATATAAAAGTTGAATAACATTTCAAGTTTTAATTTTATAGTATTTAGGTTAATTATTACCCCTTTGAGAAAAATCTAGGAATCTGATTGGTTAAAAACTACAGTGTACCAAACCGCATTCGTAAATCTCAAGGGGTATACGAAAATCTCAGGGGGTATACGGTCATGTCACGTGATTCTCAGCAGTAATACGGTGGAATCACGTGCTTTTACAAGGGGTATACGGGTCACGTGTCTTTGTATCTTGCGGCCGGGCAACGGGAGACAACTCGCATTCGTCATCTGCTTCCGGCGCTGTTTACAAAATGACAAAATGTTTCGCTTCGCATACTGATGAGGAAATACTCACCAAAAGGGCTAACTATGTGCCACAAAACACACAAAAGTCGAACAGACGAGTGGCAAACATGCTGAGGACGACGTATTTAATAGAAAAGAATCAGGAAGAACAGTTCGAGGAATTTGATAAAACGAAACTAAATGAGGTAGATTTACTGTGCCATTTTTATCTTGAAAACAGCAAAGTTGACGGGGAACTGTACAGAACCAATATAAAAGACTCAAAGGGGTAATAAATTCGTTACACGGATTTTTGGCAGGGGATACGGGATGGTATGACCCTACAGGATTTCGTATTTCCTTCGGCCTATCGGTCTCAGGAAATACGAAACCCTTTAGGGTCATACCATCCCGTATACCCTGCCAAACATCCGTGTAACTAATAATATCATCACATTAAGTTTTAATATCACAGTATTAAGGTTTAATATCATAAAACCAAGTTTTAATATCACAGTAGTAAGGTTTAATATCATGATATCAAGTTGTTTTATATCACAATATCAAGGTTTAATATCATCTCATCAAGTTTTAATATCGCGATATTAAGGTTTAATATGACGATATTAAGGTTTAATATCATGACATCAAGTTAAAAAAATATATCATGACATCAAGTTTTAATATCACAGTGTCAAGGTTTTCTGTCATCACATCAAGTTTTAATAGAACAAAATATCAAGGTTAAATATCATCACATCAAGTTTATATATCAGAGTTTTAAGGTTTAATATCCTCACGTCACGTTTTGATATCACAATATAAAAGTTTAATATCATATCAGGTTTTAATATCACAGTATTAAGGTTAAATATCATCACATCAAGTTTTAATACATTGTATAACAAAATCAAGGTTTAACACTTACGAAGAGTTGCTTTTACAGCGCTATAGTCGCTGGTCATGTGTATCCACACCTTCGTAACCGCTCCAATAGTCGTCACCGAGATATTCTCCTCAATGTCTGCTAAACCTGTTAATGCCTCCACACCTTCATGGTAAATCATAAACAGAGTGAACCTTCATCACAGTGAAATATATTTTGTTATGTTACTGTATCTCACTGTATTACTTATTAGAGATGACGATTGTTTCCTCGCTACATTACTGCAATTATTATTTCAGGCGACTAAGGTGGACCCTCGACCAAACTCCATAATGATAAGAAGTGAATTATTTGTACTCTTTTATATCATTGGATGGTCTATTGAAGGAGAGTTAATTGTATAACAGTAGAACCCTAAATTATTATATACATGTACGTTTTCCGCATATGAAACATTGATTCAATTGGAAACGGTGTACCTCATATTTTAGTCGGTTTCATGATCTTGCACGATAAAGCAAAACACGTACACCATTAGTTAATTTCACACTGAATCATAAACATGTTTCCTCTTATATTACCTGTGACAAAGTCCATAGCGAACTCAATCATTTTTTGAAATGGCTCTCCTTTCATGCTGGCGGAGGTGTCTAGACACAAAACGGTATCTGGTCCCCTTCCCCGGGCTAGTCCACTAACTGATCCTGAAATCAGCATTAAAATAGCACCTTTTATGATATTTGGATATACATGTATACTTTATAGACAATTTCCTATATATCTTATAATAGTGATGTGATAATTATAAATTTGATGCATACCTATAACTTTTTCTGTTTCGGCGTAGTTAAACCATTTTTGAAAGACGTGGAAAGGTATGAAGCTGTCGTTTCCGAGCCCAGCCATTTTTCTCTCGTCGCATTCATCTAATCCTGTGGGGAAAATGTTCTTAATGTAATCGAATTTCCAGGGTAATATTTTCTGTGACATTTTAATATTAATAGATGCAAAATAAAAGAAAGTAAAAAGTAACAATGGCGGTATTGTATTGAGCTTAAATTTAAAAGTTAACGAGAACTCCACCAATGTTTTATCTGAGTAAATGGTTATTTACTAGTGCTTCAGTTTTAAAGTTGAAGAAAACTTCAGCAATGTTTTATTTAAGTAAATGGTTATTTACCTGCGCTTACGTTTGATCAATTATTATTTACCTGGCATCGTTGACGTTTCCGTTGACAACAACCCAGACAGACTGGAATAGAAGGATGCTGTGTAAAATGTACTCAATAACATTTAAGTAAAACTATCCACCACTCAAAAAAATACCGAACAGTCAAAAAACCATAATGCGAACTCAAAACTGACAATACTGTAGCAAATTTAATACGAGCAAAGAAACCACTTACATGGAGATATTTCAACACACACAAGGCGAATAAGTGTTCCGAAAGGGTTAACTAGCGTGTTATTTAAACTAATGATATTCCTAGGTCCTACTTAAGTAAAACATGTATAGGAGAAAAGGGGATGAATAGCTTATCAAAATATAATATTTACATTTGCATGACATGGTCCCTATATAGCCTATTTGAAAGCTGTGTCGTTGATGGTAATTACCATGCATCACGAGACACAATTCTTAGCGTATTAATACAACGCTGACCGGAACTACAATTTCCAATATAAATAAACATGACGGCTGCTGAAATATCGCTGGGCATTGTGAGATTTGACAATGTCATTGTAAATTTATGTGCAAAATGAAAAATAAAATAAAAAACAGTTTTATTACAGCGAAAACAAGACCAAGGTCTGCAATATCGTACAAAATGCACATCGGTTGAAATCACCAATGCCGGCAATGGAAACA